GTCCCACAGTCTACTGGGTATGAGTGTGCTTACTTAAAGGTGGGTGGCTGGGACAGAATACCATCCACCCCACTGCACAACAGTCTCCCTGCCTGAGCTGTCTGAGTTGGTCTCTGCAGTGGTGTTGGAGTCCCCTTGGCTTGTTGCCCTGGGGGACTTCAACATACATGCAGAGACTGCTTTGTCAGGAGTGGCTCAGGACTTCATGTCTGCCATGACAACCATGGGGCTGTCCCAAGTAATATCTGGTGCCACCCATGTTGCAGGATGCACTCTGGACCTGATTTTCTGTTAAGGGCAAAATGACGATGATCTGGGAGTGGAGGAACTCTCTGTAGTTCCGTTGTCATGGATTGATCATTATCTGGTAGGGTTTAGACTCACTGGGACTCGGAGCCTCTGCGGGGAGGAGGGCCAATTAAGATGGTCCATCCCAGGAGGCTTATGGATCCAGATGGATTCCTGATGGCTCTTTGGGAGTTTCCTGCTGCCTTAGCAGGTGATCCTGCTGAAGCCCTGGCTGATCTCTGGAACAGGGAAATGGCCAGGGTGGTGGACATAATTGCCCCTAAGCATCCCCTGTTTAGCTGTTACTAAAAAAGACCTCCCTGGATCCCGCCATACTGGATAATTATCGGCCAGTCTAATATTCCATTTTTGGACAAAATTCTGGAGTGGGTGGTGGCCTCCCAGCTCCAGGGATTTCTGTATGAAACGGATTATCTAGATCCATTTCAATCTGGTTTCAGGCCTGCCTATGGCACAGAGACAGCTTTGGTTGCCTTGGTAGATGATCTTCACAGGGAACTGGACAGGGGGAGTGTGTCCCTGTTGGTTCTGTTAGATCTCTCAGCGGCTTTCGATACCATCGACCATGGTATACTTCTGAGTCACCTTTCTGGAATGGGATTTGGGGGCACTGCTATGCAGTGGTTCCGGTCTTTCTTGGAGGGGCAGGCCCAGAAGGTGGTGTTGGGGGACTCGTGTTCAACTCCTTGGCTGCTGCCCTGTGGGGTCCCATAGGGTTCTGTTTTGTCTCCCATGTTGTTTAACATCTACATGAAACCGCTGGGGGAGGTCACCCGGAGTTTTGGGGTGCAGTGTCATTAGTATGCAGATGACACCCAACTCTATCTCTCCTTTCCATCTGACTGCAAGGAAGCTGTCTCTGTGCAGAACCAGTGTCTGCTGTCAGTAATGGACTGGATGAGGGAAAACAAACTAAAGCTTAAACTAGTCAAGACAGAGGTGCTCCTGGTCAGTTGTAAGGCAGATCAGGGAATTGGGATGTGCCTGAGATGGATTGGCTTACACTCCCCCTGAAATGTCAGGCTTGCAGCTTGGGTGTGCTCCTGGACTCAACTCTGAGCCTGGA